TAAATTTTCAAGAACATACCTATAGGCATGAAGCTTGGGGTAGTAAGGAATGGTGACTATGATTTTGGAGAAGAAGAGTGGCCGTCGGTTTAGCCTTTGCACAGCTATCTTGTTTAGAGTTTAAAAAAGGAGAAGTTCTGAGTTTTTTATGTGTAATTCTCGTTGTAAAATTGGCGAAAATTTATGTTTGAATGTTCGTGATCTAAAACCAAACAATGGTGAAAATTTACAGTGACACTTTTAAGTGTTTTTGTTGGAAAGAAATTTGTGAAAGGTTGCTTCGAGTATTTTTTTCACTATTTGGTTGTGTGAATGGAAACTTCGTCGCATGCAACGTGTATGCTTACAAGTGAGGTTAGATTTATTTATAAGTGGAAACAAAAACTGTTTTTTAATTTCTCTAATGAAATTACAGACTCAAGTATTGTTATCTGGAATGAAAGCGGTCGATGCTATAAATAATTTTGTTACATGATGATTGTGGCCAACCTCGTTATTGATTTCTTGTCAGTATGTGAATGGAATCGTGCATGACAAGTTCTTCGTATTTTAAGAAAATCAGCCTAAAGAGATTGATAGACTTAGATGAAGTGTCATAATCTCAGAAGTATTTTTCGTTTTTGTTGCATTGCCATCTATATTTTCAGTCAAGAACATAAAGCGAGAAAGTAAGAAATTATGAAAGGACTTACTGAAGATATGAGGGAAAACATCAATTCAAATAATCAAGATGCTCATATTCTTGTTGATGAAAATTATAGGAATCGAAACATATCAGTTTCTGTTTTTCTTCCTGGTTTACGTACTACCATGATCGATCGTGTAACAATACACTAAAAAAGACAGGTATCCTCGAAAACCCTTTAAGGGTTTCTGAAGAAGGATTTCCGAGACCTCAGAAACCCATAATGTGGATCATAGCGAAACCTCAAATAATCATTCGGACACCCAAAGAAAATGTTTCTGAATACAGAAAAAGCTCTACTGAACTAAACTCGACACGAAGCGATCACTACTCTGCTAGCCGCAACAAAAATTCAAAGTGGGTCCAGATATTCGATGTGGCTCTGGTGTGAACCTATCCGCATCTAGAAATAACTACAAGAACCATCAAAGGTGAGCAACACACGGGATTCAGAGAACAACTTTGACTATCCTGCTGTTCTTTCTCACACCATTACCAAATCATCAGGAGGCTAAACATTACGACCTTCTACATCTAAAAAATGAGAAAACAAACGATATTTTTCGTCGAAACATCGTATGAACTCACCAGCTTTCTTCATATTGAAACTCATCAAAACTAATAAGCACCCATTCCAATGTAAAAAAAACACAACGCAACCATAATAGTTACTAAACGAATTTCATCAGCTCACCAAACCTTTCACTACAATTCTCATCTGAACATAAAAATGAAACTGTATTTTCATTTAATTAATTGATTCAAACTCATCGGATCTATCGATATAAAACGGGTGTAGGTGTGAGTGTAGATGAAGAGATATCACGCACCCACACCCACACCCATACCAACTCACACTAAAGTTCAAACATCCAACACGCTCAGATTACCAGAGGTTATTCCCGATTTTCATTACATGGGATGATAAGTGCAAATAATCGTATAATCTATTTTATGTGTTCAAAAATTCAAAGAATAAAAAAATCGATGGAAAATCTTTATTTAAAATGAAGGTTATGGGTAAAATCGAAATAGTTTTATTTTCAATTAAGTTCATTTCTTGTTAGCAATTGAGAATAATCAGATTCATTATTAGGTCTTTCCACTTGATGTGTATATTTATTTCGGATTCGATAACGATTACGTAATATATATATAAATCCGACGAGTAAAAGAATGAATACAATTGAACGTAGCAAAAAAATTGATATGACATTTTTGCTTATAGACCTTTGAGAATTTGATCCATCCCCTATCGATAGTATTGAAAAGTTTTCCCCATCACTTAAAAGAAATATCTAACGCATTATAAAGTTATCAAAAATAGAACTTTTTGCATATTAATAGTCGAATTAATTGGACAGTTATAATTGAATTATGATTGAGTTTCACGAGGGAACTACCCTAAGTGTTAATCCCAGATTCGACCAAGAGTTATTCTAGTTAATAGAGCTCGGCGAGCTGATTTTTATGGTATAAAGCGTTCTTCTCCATGGAACCTTTAACAAGACAAAATCAATCCATTCTATTCGTGGAAAACCACATTCGAGACATTGAACATCGAAGTGTAACATGCATTAACATGTGATAGATGAAATTTCATAATCGACCCTCTTACTTTTGGCTGTACATTGTTACTCGATAGACTAAAAATTGTTCAACGATGTCTTTATCTGTATATTACAACGTTGTTATCACTAAATATAGGGCGTAGGTGTGCCGGTGTTGCTGTGGTTGAAGAGTACACTCGCATGCACACCCACACTCACATCCTTTTTCATTTAGATTTTAATTGTGAAAAATATCGATAAAGATCATCAATCACATTATCAGATAACTATTCGATTTTATTTCATTTGTCTTTATCTTTTGTTCAAACCGAGCTATTCGGACAACATTGAGGGGTAACGAAAAACAAAACTTGGTTATGACCTATAATGTATTGAATCGACTCTGACATCTGAATCAACTTTCGAAAATCTCAAGCACCTATTAAACAAATTTCAAGAATTTTTTGATCTTGATCTTATTAAAACTATTGCCACTTTGAAAATAGATCGGTAGATAAAATTTTATGAAAAATTAAAGCGTTATTCCTCATCACAACTTCAACGTTTGTTATTTTCCGATGTGCAAAAAATTCTCTGAATTTGCGTATTGGAGATTTCAAAAAGTGAGAACACCATACTTCATGCATTTGTAAGTCTCATTAAGTTCTTGAAGTGTTCAGATTTGATAAAATGTCGCTAGTGTTGAAAATTACACAAGTTTTCGGAACTTCATCTAATAGGAATTTCAACAAAATGAAGCTAGTCTATATTAATTGTGCAATATGAACTTCTCGGGAGAGGTAATATGACGCACTTCAAGCATTCTAAATGGATTTTGTATTTGTGCTCATTTTTGCTTAGTTTATTAGGCAAAACTCAACGAAATATAATGATCAGTTGAATCTAGTTTTTCATTGTTTTGTGTTACTTTCTAATGATAATCGTCATTTGTTTTATTATCGAAAGAATATAAACAGAGACTGGTTAGAACCTATCAGGGATCTGTGTTAAAATTTCTTCCAGTTCATTGATTCAAATAATCAAAGATCACTTTTTCTGTATTAATGTTTTCGGTGTATGTAATACAATTCTGGTTGTTGTTACATAATTCTAAACTGATTAGTTGATTCTCAAAGCTTTTCTTGAATTATCTTTGTCTTTTCGTTGTTCTGATTGATATTGTTAGAACATCATACAAGACGAACGATTTCGATTTATATGTGCATTTTCAATATCCGTAAGTATTGTGTCTTAGAATTGTTTTATTGAGAAATATATGAAAATATCAAGTAATTATTGGATTTGAAAAGGCCAAAGCATTTTTATTCTTTAATCTTTACAAAATAGACATATTTATTTACAGAGGATTAAAAATAATATAAGTTGGTAATATCGACCAATATTAACTAAATGAAAGTAACAACAATCTTAATCATGATTTTTATCTTTACTCGAAGGATCTTATCAGGTAGCTTATTCAAATTTCAATTTATTGGCGGGCGACTGCTAGATGCATGATCATTACTGTTTTCTATTATTTTAACACTATTCGAGCTTTTACTATTTCTTATTATTTTATTACTTTGATATTTTATTGGTTCTTTTAGAATCGTAAGTAATAACGAGCAGTAACTTATATCTGTAGTAAAGTAATAATGAAAGAATAAATGCAATATAAAGTAAATAGAAAAAAGATAGGTCTATTATGATTAGCTACCATAAAAGTATACCCTAGGGAAAAACTTTGATGTTCTCATACCAGATTATTGACAGATCCAATAAAATCATAAATGGATTCGTTCGTTTTTCTTGAGAAAACTACAAAATCCTGAAAAAAAGCATGTAGTCACGCGAACTTTCATGATGTTGTCAGGATTGAAATCAGGATTTTATTAAGATCCTCAACAGTTTACAACTGTTTATGAATTAGAAATCTTCAATCCTGCAAGAAACGTGTAGTTACGAAATATCAAAGATTCTGGCAGAATTTGGAATAAAATTTTAGAAGGATTCTCAACGGTTTTCCATTGTTTTCAGATTCGAATCCTATCAGAATTTCAATGATTTCTAATTGAAAAAATTTTGATTATTTCTTGCAGGATCGTGCTAGGTTTCCTCTGAAATAGAAACACATTTCTTCATAAGGTCTTTGCAGAATTTTTTAAACAGAACAGAAAAGAAATCGATACATAGAGTAATGATATCTAGACCTTCTATTCACAAACCGATCAGTTGAGCCGGTTGTGTTGTGCTATATTATTATATATAACCCCAACGTTTGATGTCTTAAATTTGATCTGAAATGTGAACTTGTATTTGAATTTTATATGAAAAGAATTGTCTGAAGAAAAATTTGAGAAGTAAAATATTGCATTTTAAATATTGATTCCAGTTGACTAAATTCTGCTATATTGTGTTTAACTTCAAATCAAATTTTAAAAAAAATATTTCTAACTTTTTCGTCAGGAATACATGAAATTGAGAACAGTTTTTATCGAATGGCACATTTCTTACTAAAAATGTATATTTAATGGAAAAAACGATTAGAACAATGAATAGGTATGTGACAGTACTGAACAATCTATATCTATGAGACCCTGTGGAATTGATTTACCTTGTGCTACTGGGAAGAATACATTTTATCGAATACTTCGAAAAATATGAAAGAAAAACATCTCTTGATAATTATAACTCTAATTAAGGATATTTAAAAAACAAATAGTATGTTTCACTGATAGATATATAATTGCAACGTGCGCATCAAAATGCATATGAAACGAGTATTTGATCGATCTGATAAAGATGTTCAAACTATATCATATGAACTCCGAAGACATAAAACATGGCATGGTTTCAATGCGTTTAGTTTGAAAGATGGGCTAGAAATGCTATTTTCGCTTCTTATACCAGCAGCAATTGCTATTATAGCTATTTTTATACAGAAACATGACATGGATATGAACATTAAGAATCGAGAAAATGACTTATACATCAATCAATTACAACGTGATAGTGATGAACAACTAGCTCTTTATCTAGCAAATGAAACTGTCTTTAGTAATTATGTTAAAAATATGGGTGATGTTATTCTATATAGCCCAGTTCAATTTCAAGGGCAACAATATATAGTAACACGTGCATTAACATCCACTATTTTACGACAACTTGATGTGGATAGGAAAAGATTAGTTATACAATTTTTGTATGATGCTACCATTTTACGACGTTATACAAGTATATTTGATACACATACAACAAGTGAAAATGAAAGAAATTTAGATGGTGTAGTTTTAGATCAAGTCAATTTCAGTGGTGGTTTAAACTTATCGACAATTGTGTTACGAAGTGTTTCATTAGTAAATGCCACATTTTCTAATTCTAATTTAGATGCATCCGATTTTTCTAATTCAATATTAACTGGAGTTAATTTTTCTAATACAAAATTAACTAGAGTTAAATTTCTTAATGTAGAATTACAAAAAACGGATTTTACAGGAGCATCTGTAAAAAATATTCAATTAATTCGAGCGAATCTAAGCCAATCGACTATAACTGATGAACAAATCAGTCATGCTTTATTTGTTTATAATACAATTTTACCTAATGGTACTTATGCTCGAAATAAAACATTTATTCAGAATGGAGATACTAAACAAGGTTTAAGTCAATGGAATATTACATCAGGAATAATTAAAGTCAAAGATTCTTATTTTATGGGTAACAATAATTCAACCATGTTTCAACGTATAAATACAACAGATGCAAGACTTTATAGTTCGCATCTATCATTTACCTATTGTTTATCTTTTCTCTTTCATGGACAAGAAAATTTAATGATTCAAATAATTCAATTAAATCAAACGCGAGCCATTATCGGTGTAAATAATATTAGTAAAAGTAAGTTGATTTCTGTTATTAATATAATAAAATCTGCAACCTAATAGAAAAATAATAATAAATATTCATTCATTTTCATCAATTCAATAACGAGAATTTAATCGATTCTATATATGACAACGAACACAGTAATATATTTTGCTGCTATATTATACGCGAGTTGAGTTGAGACCGATCAGTGGACAGTACACAAAAGCCAGACGAAAAAAAAAAACTTTTACAATTTTGGATAAGTTTTCAATAATCTTTTTTTAATTAGAAGTGGATACATCATTTTGATGCGCACTTCATGTATCTATTCAAGTTTTTCGTATATTATGTCTTTAAGGAAAATATCGTACAAGTAAAAAACTTTTTTTTATTTTGCTATTCATTATGCCACTTACTTGACTGGGAAAGGTTTAAATATATGGATGAGAATGCGAGTTGAACAGTTTCCACAAAGCGAAAATCATCTTTTCTTTATGGTGCTCTCGTTTCCTTCGAACTACACAGTAGTGTAACCTCAAATTCGTAGAATTTTTTGAGCTTTGAATTATTTGTAGTTTTTGAGAAGCATTTTGTCACATACTTGAATTTTGTTACTCATTTATTTTAGTAATATCATCTTCCTGCAAGAGAATTTCTTCAAGCTCATTGGATTTTTGTTATTGGTCATATTGTAAAGATTCAAAATCTGAAACTGATTATATTGATCTAAAATTTATTTTTGGATATCGCAACGATCCAAGAAATATTACAGCTGTAAAAGATATTGAATTTACTATTAATATAGATTAAAAGATTTCTTATATAACAATGGAAAATAATAAGTGTTTTGAACATTATATATTTATTGTTTTTATAAATATAATCAAAATCGATTAATTATTTCTCAACTTATGAAAATAAACGAAAGACGGATCGACTTTTGGTTATAAGATTTTAATTTTTAGTTAGTTGATTTCTGTTAGTTTGAGAATGATTTGTTTTCAATGATATAACTTTCATTAGTACTTTGACATATTGAACAAACTATCACGTACAATTTAATTTAAAGTGTTCCTGAAATTACTGACCAACTTACATTTTTTTCAATGAGTAGGAAAATTTGTATGAATAATAGAAAAATTCTGTCCGATATCAACAGTCATAAAGAAATAAAAGAAAAATATAAGTAAAAATGTGTGTCAATTTGCAAATACTCTTGCACAAGGTGTCGACAGCAAGAAACAAATAATATGCTCGTTACTAACAAAAGAATACTTTTTGTGTTGGTGGAAAAGGAATGATAAGGGCGAGTGTGGGTGTACGTACAAATGCAGAGAAGATACATAAAACAGTAACACCCACACTCATCGAATGTTTTCTTCATAATTATGGAATGGTCACTGAGAAAAGACTAAAATTTTGGAATTACAGGTTTTTTTACGTGCTCTTTCATTGCCAATAATAAAAAATCTCTGTGAACATTTTTTGTATGACACGATTTCTCGATTAAGTCATCCCCTGCCTCTTAAGGCTTCTAGTAAGTAAATTTATTTATTTATTTATTTTTTCTTCCCTTGTAGTCTTCGATCTCACCGCGTCGTCATCATCAATAACATCATCGTCCAATATCAAAGGAAGAGAATAATTCTTTTTTTTTGCTGAGAATGAGAATAGGGGAGAGGGGAAAGATGAGATTAACTAGGCATCAAAGAAGTGTTAAGGGCCTTGTGAGAGAGAGGTAGGGTGAGTTGGTTCCTTTGAGATTCCTCTTTTAAATTCAGACCGGCCAGGTTCACCATGAGAGCTCGATCAGGAACTCTCCTGGTGTTCCGTTGCACACGATCTGGCTTGTCCCAGACTCTTTAACATATCTCATGTGGATAACTTGTATCTGCTCTGGGCGTTCATGAGCTTTACATTCACCACCGTTCCGCTGGATGGCTTCTCGTCGCGTACGCGAATAGAAGAGCCATTTCTTTCATCAATTCAATGTGATTTATTTGAAGGAAAGAAAAAAAACCATCAAAACAAGTTTATTCGATAGAAAATCGTTGAACACGATGATTATATTCATCGGCAACATAAATATTGCCATGTCTATCGAAGGACAAACCCATGGAAACTTTGAACTGATTTGCTTCTGCTCCTTGACCATTTCCACCCACAACGATAGTGCCCTGTGTCGCTCCTTTAGGCCAACGCATCACTCGATTATTGTCTGAGTCTGCAACATAGATGGTACCCAACGTATCAACGAACAGTCCGTAAGGATCCGACAATTGTGTCAGAGCCTTTCCCTTGTCTTGACCTCCAGCAACAATAATTCCTTCTTTTGCATCTTTATCCCATTTCATTACACGATTATTGTGACTGTCGGACACGTAAACAGCCTGTTGTTGATCGACAAATATGTATTTCGGCCAGTTGAGTTGATTGAGACCAGCACCTTGGCCATGGCCACCGGCCACGAGTGTTCCATTATTGTCTCCTATTTGATATCGTCTTACTTCATCTTTGTCGGTGTCAGAGATGTAAAGATAACTCTGATCATCCATAGCTAGTCCCCAACACTTGATGTTGTCGATGAGAATTTTTCCTTGAGTTATATTACTATGACGAGACCATCGAACGACTCGTCGATTTTGCCCATCACAAATAATGAGACTGTCAGTCTCTTTGTCGATTAACACATCGGTTGGAGAAAACAATTGATCTAATCGATTTCCTTGACCATGGCCACCAGCTACTACTTGTCCATTCGTCTCACCGATCTTCCATTGGATGATACGATGATTGTGCGTGTCAGCGATGACCATCGTTTGATCATCATCAACGAAGAGATTGAATGGCCAGCTGAGTTGATTGGTGGCATCACCTTGTTCATGACCTCCAGCAACGGTCACGCCGTTCTGTGCCCATCGGGCATTAGCTGGAATATTGGGAATTACTACAATGAACGAAAAAGAAAAGAAATCATCGTTATCGAACAGATCTCACTGCCTCTTGTAAAGAGAAATGATACAAATGAGACATTTTTCTTCATCTTCGAAGACAACTTGATAGAAGTTTCGAGAATAACCATCTCTCACAGCTCTAAACAAGAATAGGTTCTCCAAGCCAATATAAATTTAGAAGCCTTTTCTTAGTTTCATATGAAAAAAAAGAACTTCGTACCGATTTTTATAGTTATGTCACATTATCCACTCTCAAGCTAACTCATTCCTTAAGATCCCCAAGTAGAATCTATGACAATCCATGTTTGCAGGGACTTCTTTAATTTTTTGCCAAAATCTTTCAAATCCTAAACAGTAGGATCTTCGCGAGAAACGAAAACAGTACCTGGAGGAAGAGCAATGCTAATCCTCTACAGGATCTCGATAGAAAAACATAGAGATCTGAGTCGTAATTATGAATGGAGAATCTTTGCAAGATTATACGAAACAGTACTAGCAAGCCTAAATCTTTGAAGGATTTAAACAATAAAATAATGAACTCTGTCGAATTCCTAAACTGAACAAACTCCGAAAAGATATCAACAAGAGCTTGTAAGAAGAATGTCAAGAATGATAATTTTGAATTCTTACAAAATAGATGTGCGTCGTCAACAGTATCTATCTTCCTGGATGTTTTCACGTGATTCGACAAAATTCTTGATCAGGTGATTTTCTGATTTATAAATGCAAATATGCCGAAAGGTCTCGTGAAAATTTTTGCATAGATGTTGTACGTGTGACTCTATTAGGTTTTTGCGACCTTATACCAAGTTTATCGAAGGACAATCGTGACGTGGTCTTGGCAAGATCATAAGAAAGTTTATACGCATGTGAAATTAAGGAAACTTGACAGAATGCCATGGAGATCTTCGAAATCGGACGCCTTCTACTTTTGAAATAATAAGTATACGAATGCTAATTCTATCGGTGCTTTTTATAAGAAAACAGATGAATTTTGTTAGCTTTCTAGAAGTACTAGGTGAGAACTTATTTCGTTAGATGGAAAACAGAGTCTTACTCAGAGAAGTAGAGGGCAAGAGTAACAATGAGCTATTATCAGCTTCTCAAGAAGATCTGATACAAAGCATCATCTGGAAATGTTAGAAGGGTTTCTATGAATTTCAGACGAGAATCTTAGTTATAAAAAAATGAACAGTGCCCGAATTCGAAACTGTAAAATGCTTAGATTTGGGCTGCATCTTACAAGAATGATGATGCTAAATATTTGAGCTAATATCTGAATCTTAGGAGAATGCCCAAAACGAGGGATTTTCGAGGGTCTTGCAAATAGATGTTCAACCTGATCCGTATTTATTTGAGAACCCTAAGGAATGACTGTGAATGTGGGTGCGTTTGAGTGTTCTTATTTTTCACTTGTACCTACACCCACATTCACACCCCCGCACACTTTATAAGAATTTAATGTTGTTATCATGTTTTGACCAACGACTTATTAATATAATATTTATCTGTGAGAATGTATATCAACTTTAAAATGCCAAAAAATTTAAAATTTAATATTCGTTTCTATGCCAAAAACTTCAACTACTAGGTCATTTTTTAAGGTGCGTCAAATGCAACAAGTAAACAAAAAAATGTTTCCCTTTATAAATACATGGTTTGATAGAGTTTTTGAAGCTGAATCGAAATATCTATTTACTATTGTGTTTTGATCAAGTTTTGAGTCTGAAAACTTGAAAATACTAAACAAAATTGGAAAAAAAACATTGTTTTCGAAGAAAATTTGAAATTTCATCCATTTCCACTGAATATAAGTTTTCAAAACTGATATATTCGGATACATCCTCTCAAACAAATTTCAGCGTAGCCAGTATTTTTCATGAGATTAGTTAGGATGAGAAAATTACTCATCAACACTCTTGTGTTGCAAATCTATGTAGTCTGTTATTTGAAAGCATTTTCTAGATATCTGATGCACCAATCGAATCGACATTTGACAAGAAAAAGGTACCTATGGTTTTTAAGACATTTTGTTTTCTAACTGAGGAATGAAACTTTGTCTAAATCATGCATGTTTAGGATAAAAATCTACCGACGAATTATCATTTTTTGTACCAAAACTCAATTAGAATGCAATATAAATGCTATATTTGGAATCAGCATAAAAACATGGGTCGAATACGATGGGTTTTAAATCATTTGGACAACTTTTGTTTTCTTAGGTAAATCTTGGGTAAGTGATTCCAGTCGAAAATTAAAAGGAAATGAAAGTACTTCGAAATCATTATTTTCTATCACATTCAACTCAGTTTTTTATGCTGATTCTAAACAGAGCATTTATATTGCATTCTAATTGAGTTTTGGTGCAAAAAATGATAATTTATCAGTAGATTTTTAGCCTAATCATGAATGCTTTAGAGAAAGTTCCATTCCTCAATCGGAAAACACAATTTCTTAAAAACCATCGATCGTTTTTTTTGTCAAATGACAATTCGATTGGTGCATAGATATCTAGAAAATGCTTTCAAACAAAAGACTACATGGATTTCTAACAGAAGAGTGTCGATGAGTAATTTGTTCATTCTAACTAATCTCATGGAAAATGCTGACTACACTGAGCTTTGTTTGAGACCACATTTTAATACTCAGTTTGAGATGATGTATCCGAATAAAGCAGCTTTGAAAACCTATATTCAGTTGAAAGAGATGAAGTTTCAAATTTTCTTTGAAAACAATGATTTTTGTTCAATTTTGTTTAGTATTTTCAAGTTTTCAGACTCAAAACTTGATCAAAACACAATAGTAAATAGATATTTAGATTTAGCTTCAAAAACTCTATCAAACCATATATAAATAAAAAGACTTCTTTTGGCTTATTTTTTGGATGGATGTGAGTGTGGAGTGTGGGTGTGTGTTGATTACTCGCATTCATACGCACACCCTTAAAAGGTTCAGTATCACACATTTTCTTGGAGAGTACGATTCAACTGAAAGCATTAATTCAAAAGGCTCCCAAAGATCAATGAAAGTCGAAGACTGCATGGAATACAGAACATACCTTTAGTGCAAAAAAAAGATGCTGAAGTCTAGTGTAAAGATGAAGCGGAGCATCTGAAACACCTTTAAGATGGAACAGGTAAAATAAGAATGACAGATGAAGTAAGGCCGTATTCTGAAAAGCGTGAAAACCAATTTGGAATAGAGGTCCTCGATCAACGAATGAGTTATAGGAAAAAGAATATAGTTAGTTGTGCGAAATTATTTCTACAAAAAGCACCATGACGTTAGTCAAATGAGTAGTCGAGACAGGTTTTTCTTCGAGACATCTCGTTATTTAGTGATACATGTGAAAACTGATTTGAGTGGAGTGGAAAAAGAACATGAAATATCTTTCAGTTCAAAACATGTCAACGGAGACAAATTACTTGAAATTTGCAAAAACCTCGTTTATCATTCGTGATTTTCGTACAGCATCCAGGTTTTCCGCTAGAGTTTCGTAGCTGGACTAGTACAAATTTACTATCATCACCTTCTCATGCACTACTTTATGTTTGTGCTATCTATATTGAATCTTCAATAACAAGAATGTTCTGATGGTACTAACTTCTTTCAATATTTTTTTAATTTGAAATGAATCACCGCTAAAGACCTTTTAGAGAACACGAGCCAATATGTTTCTGAATACATCGAATAATCGTAACTGATTTATATCTAGTACGTGACATGAATTAAGAGCACATAATCATCAGAATTTTTTCTGGACCGACTTAACAGGTTTTCTAAATGATCGAATTATTAGATTTTGATTAATCTTATATTACTCTTCAATGACACGTTTACTCTTTTCTGAAAACTAAAAAATAAACTCTTTACGATCTTGGTAGCCAAAGTTATGCATGAAATGCTTCAGAAAAGGTGTCTGATAGAATTGAAATACCTGACTTTAAGTTTTTCTGAATTCCAGTAACGATGAAAACGAGAAGATATTTAGAAGAAAGTATATTTCTATGGCACCTGCAGTCAAATGTTTTAGTTTTTGAATTTACATAAAGCATTTTCTATTAAAAGGTAGCATATGTAAGTAGTAGTATCAAATGAAGAGGAAGAATAGATTTCGTTTTTTAGTTGTCAACAAAATAAGTCAAACTTCGCCGGTGACGAAAACTAGCCAACATGGCAATTACTATTACTTGGTTTTTACTGATGGTAAACATTGGATAACTCATGATATAAGATCGTTTATTTTATCAATGTAACCTTTAGCTAGCTGCAGAGTAATATTGCATACAAAGGAACTATACTTGATTAAAAAATAGTATTTAGCAAGATCAAAAAGTGGGAATATAATGCTTACCTAGTTGTTGAATAGCGGTTGTACTAGTAATTGTAGTTGCGTTTGTAGTTGTTGTTGGAATTGTTGTTGTTGTTGCAGTTGTAATTGGGATCGTACTGGTAGTTGTACCACTCATCGCTATTCATTATCATAGAAAATATAGAATTCGGTGTATTTAAGTGTTAGGTGGAGCCTAAACAGCAGTGTTTCAATGTATAACAACGATTCTGAATGATCTGAAAAGCGACTTTTTTTTTCTTGTCAAACTAATCTTTGATGGAAAACTTCTGTGTTTATTAGAAATCGAAAAGTCAGTAAAATTTTCGTCAATTCGATTCTATATGATTCGGCTAACTCAAATCAAAGCGAATCGAATTGAATTGAATTGAATTGAACCGAATCTATCAAGATAAATCAGACAGACCGCATCTACTTTCTTCATTTTGAGAAACCTTGAAAACAGAGAAGAGACTCGCGAAATATAAAAAAAACGTTTCGTCTGCAGCATCATATATTCTTTGTCAGCTTCGTATCGCTTATCTTGCAAAATTCGTCAAAAAGAATTAAAAGTAGGAAATTCATCCGACGAACAACTTATCCAAGCGTTTCGAGACTAAAGCAAAAGCTTGTCATGCTCAAGTTTATCGCTTCTGTTCTATCTTAAATACGAGCAGAAGATTTTGAGGCTCTGATTGTGGTTGTAGTACAAGGTCGTTATTCGAATTATAAAATTTATGATTCCGATCTCTCACATAAATTTCTCATCTGCTAAGTAAATTCATCTCAGATCACTAGAAGATTTTGCCGTTATATTAGTAATGTGAGTGAAATACTTCGTCCCTCTCTTCATCAGACAGTTGAATATTGACATTCTTTTCTTAAGAAAAAAATCTCAAATGTTTGACAAACGCAGGCATAGACCTCAAAAGAAGTAGCCGTTTCAAAGATGATCCGACAACATGCATTCTACGTTTATTAGTATCTTACTGTGGCGATTGAGTCAGTGGTGTTACAAGCTGTGGAATATACTTTACATATACAGTTGCATTACTGATAATCAGTGTCATATTCATTCAATTGAATGGCTAAAGCACTTTTGATCGCTAGCGGTTACTGCGTCACAGCTAAATAATCAGGGTTCACTTGTTTGCAAGGTTAGTCATTAGAAACATGACAGAGAGAATTATAAATACATTCTCTTTCGAGTTAGATATCGATTACAGTTGTTTTGAAAAAAGACTGCCAAGTGAACTCAATATTCATAAGATTCAGTCGATTATACAACGAAAACTGTGAATAAAGAGAAATGTGGCACAATAAAATTGATGTGCTCTTATGGGGATATAAGCATATGACATCTTCGACAGAATCGAATTAAATCCCATGGTTAACCACATCCTAATAGATATGGTCCATAAGAAGAGATAAAATCTTTTCTCCAATGATTACAATTCGTTTTGTCTCTGCTACTATTTATCTGTTTTTTTCAAACACTCTTCAGCTTTTTCCCACCGCTCCTACACCAGCATATATTGTATATGTAAGAGGATATGAACAGTGGAGAGATACCTTTAAGAAAGATTCGAGTTTTACTTGAATCTGTAGATCACTGTTTGTTTTCTTACTTGCAATCGGAGGACAGAGCTGTCGATTGAAACTCGGCACCGGATAACAAACAGGAAGATTCTGGCATCGAGGATGATGAACACATCTCTGGTTAGGTTTACGACAAAGGTTGTTTGAGCGTTCGCATGGAACTAACTCAGAACAATCCACGAATTCATCGCCACAAATGCCAATGTCTATAGCACCTGCTATATAGAAACAGGCACACGCACTATTTGGCGAACATCGATCATATTGAGACATTCCATGACAAAATTGAGATTTTACTCGAACTAGAGACATACTAAATTAATAGCAAGACAGGTAAATCGAAACAAAAATCAAACCTGTAAGGCTTAAAAGGAAGATTGTTGAACATTAGATGAATAGAAAAAAATAGGTTTTAGAATTACCTCAATAGAACGAATACTAAACAATGAAGTAATGTGGAAACCATCACTTGAGTTGAAATGAGACAGAATAGAGCTGATACCCATTCTTATATTTAATGAATAGATAATGTTTTACGCATTTGTCGAAAGTGAAGAATCGCACGACGTGATCTTTCGATAAATAGAAATTCGATATTGCTCCACTGCTTTCTTAAGCACTTAATTTTTCTCTAAAAAAAGTAATCTTTATAGAAGAAAGAAGCATCGTAAAAGCAATATGGGATTGCTTCTGAAATACAAGCATTTAATAGGCTCCTGCCATCATTCGAAACATGAATATTGCTACAACCAATCATCGATTCATTATATAATGACGACATAGAATAATTTCAAGGATAATTTTTATTTTTATTATAAGCAGCTTATTAAAATTCGCATCTTGATCAAATCAGAGTCGCAGTCTCTAGCCAGCCACATATATTTGTACTTTGAACTGTCTCTTCATTGCACCTCAAAGGTTTCATTAGTCGACTTTTATGTCCAGCTTAAGAAAAAATCGCCTATGAAGGTGATGGCACGGTTACGAGTGCGGCAAAAGCTGGAATCGTTCGCGAACAAACAAGTTACTTCAACATTGAAGCAGATTTCTCCTTCCTCTGCATAAATTATGTTTAATGGCTTGCGCCCTTCCGGCGAAGAATTTTTAGTGATGACATTATTCGAAAACGATCGCTCCAGTGAAATGTCCATGCTCAATCGATTCAGTGACGTTCGACTTTAGATCGCAAAGTGGGTGTGGGTGTGCGGGTTTGTGTTTGGATGTGGAGTGCGAGTAAAAAGAAGATCAGCACCCACCCATGGCGTAAATTTCTGCGAAAAAAACGCGTTCTCAAAACGCATTTTTCCATAGTTGCGAAACGCGTTAATGCTGACCGGTTTAACGCATTTCACATCTGCTAATACGAACGCTGTGAAACGATCGTTTTTCTAAAAACGTTTCGTAGCGTTTCTCTAACTGTGGTGTCGTATGTTCTAGATGAAAAAAAAATGAAAACCGTCAAGTACTTCATGCACTTTGAGTTGCAGATACAATTAATTTACTCGCTTACATTTTTCATACACCTTTAGAGCTATAACTTAGATCAATTTTGATAACGCCAACACATAGATTCGAACACGAGAACATAAGAGTAGAAGACATGTGTACAAACCGTTCAACTAAAATAATCTAATGATATAAGTGTTTATTCTATAGTCTTTCAGAGTCTTCCGTAAACTTACTAAATTAGATTTTCAGTATCCCAAACCATTAAATTAAAAATTATCATTTCTTTGGTGCCTATACCCAATAACGAGTTTGATCTCCTCTTGTATATTTTTTATTTGAACTTGTTTAAATTTAAATTTAAATACCCAATTGAAACAATTTTAATTAATTTAAATTGTATTTAATATTTAAACAAGTTGAATCTCTTAGATATAAATTTTAAGAAATCTAAAAATAAATTTTTTGAATTGTTTTCTTTATTTGATAGATTTTTGTATATGTAAATTCATCATCCTTTTATCCAAAAGTATCACTAAATGCAAAGAATCTTCTTTTGTAAATTGAATATTCTTTTTATTAATAAGTCACGCTTACATTAACAAAGTACGAACTAAATTCATATTTAATAGTATTGTACACAGTATCATCAGTTACTATCAAGTAGTCCAAATATGAATTCATACCAATAATTATTCAAATTATAAATAACTCGAGATTCTTTTCTTCACAAATAAACAAACAAAGTTGTCGTACACATTATACTAGCATCAGTCTTTACTAAATCTTTTCGAATTGTTCAATATTTAAAACAATGCTTGGTTGAACGTTACGAAACACGTTTTCTTTCAATAAAAACCTAGTGAAATGAGTTTTCAAGGAAGAAAAAAAATATTTTTCTTACACTTTGATGATCAATATTAGTCTAACTACCAATCAGACTTATAGAACAGTCTAGCAGCCTAAACATTTAGAAGAATTCGATTTTAATTTTGCGTTTGGAAAGTTTGGGTCATGATTTTCATGTTGAGAAACAGTGCAAGGAACAAAATGTTCAAATCCCATTTAGTATAATTTCTAAAATAGTGCCAGAATTAACTTTGCTTAACTCGTACGTTTTGTGCAGATAAATTCCTGCAAGATTCTGTATACAAAACGGATATATTTTGCATCATTTCAAACAAAAACGATGCAAAATGCGTTTGAAAAGGAAACGCGTTTCACATTTCTCCGAATCTGTGTCTCTGGAACGCGTTACTTATCGACCGAAATGCGTTCGACATTATTTTACTTCGGAAACGCTTCGAAACGCAATCTTGGAAAAACGCGTTTCAGATCGTTTCAAAAAACGACAGCAGCAAAACGCATTCTATCGAAGTAAGAATGCTGTGAAACGCGTTCTATATTGAAAAAACGCATCCTGCAATCTCAGAAACGCGTTACGCAGTCCGTTTCCTTGAATATTTTACTCCATGGGCAGACCCACATCGACACCCACCCAGACTCACATCAACACCCACCCACACCCACACCACACCCACATCCATACCCTATCCACACCCACACCCACATCCACATCCTTAGCAAAATTAAGTGTCGTTGCAGCTGCTAAATACATTTCTATTCTCAAATTGTTGTTCAATACTGATCAGATCATTATTTCATACGTTTTTGGCAGCAAAGATTATTCAGGATATGATTGCTATAAGAAAAACGTCCCGTTGTCGAAAACTTTTTCCTTCTTCACTGAGTCTAAAGAAGTAGCTCATGCACATTATCAGCAGAGACAATATATTCACCTGATGAATTTTTTTTACACTTTATCAGACTGTTGAACACTAAGCATATCCCAAGGAATGAATGATCGATTTTCTATCACGTTTCGTTACTAATAAAACTTGTTTCGAGACTTCATAGTGGATGACTGCCTATAACATTACCGAGCAACACTTTTTAAGTTCTCACTTAACATGTCATCACTGATCGGTTGCTTAGTTTGTTCAGTTATGTGTTCAATAGAGCAACATATGTGAATAGAACTCTTTTGAAAAATATTCATTTGTTATACATTTTTCGATCAGATAATCAATGGATAGGCTTCATTTCGAAGCGAACAAAATAGGCGAACAGATATATCGTGAGAAGTATGCATTTATTATGTAGTCTTCGATCAAATCATTAACTGACAAGATTTGCTTCGACGTAAGCAGAAAAAGCCAACAGAACTATGATGAGGTATATTTATTTGTCATGTGATCTTTGATCAGGTGACTAATGGATAGGATTTGCCGTGAAAGGACTAAAGTATACGAACAGAGAATGAAGATTAAAAATATTCTTTGTCATCTAATCTTCGACCCAATGATCAACGAATAAGATTTGCTTCGCAGTGAGTAAAATAGATAAACAGAACTATTATGAAAAATACTCATTTGTAAAGTGATCTTTAATAAGATGATCAACCACGAAGATTTACATTGAAGTGACCAAAATAGGTGAATGTAATGATGATGACAAATACTCGTTTGTCATATGATCATCGATCAGATGATCAACAGACAAAATTTTCTTGGAAGTAAGCAAAATATGTAAATAGCAGAATGAGATTGTATAACAGTCATGTGTTATATGATCCTGGATTACATGATCAAATGATGAATATTACTTAAAGTGAGTAGCTTAGGTGAAGATTACTATCGTGAGAAACATTTATTTTTTGATAGCCTACCAGTAGCTGATCAACTACTCCGATTTTCTTGAAAATGATCAAAATAGGTGAACTCAACGATGATGAGAAATATTCATGTGTCATGTAATCATATATCAGATATTTAACGAACGCGCTTTACTGAGTAGTGGATAAAATAAATAAATAGGAACTTCATTTGGGAGTACTGATTTAGTATGTAATTTGCAATCAGCTAATCAACTCATACGCTCTGCTTGGGAAATATCAAAGTTATTGAACAGACAATATATGGAAACGTGGCAAGTAGAACTGAATATAACGTTTGCACAACATTTTTCTGTTCATTTTTAATGGAATATTTTTTCTATCGGCTAAAGTTCATCTTAAAACACACGATCATACGGTATATCCTTTCTTTCTCTCGGCCCCTTCCCTCAGTGTTAATGTTTTCATGTTTGTAATTGTGATCGTAAATAAAAACAGTTAGAAAGGTGTGAAGATGGGTGTCAGTGCGAGTTTTCTTCTAATTCCTCCCTCACTGTACGTCACCCACCCACACTCTCTCTGTCTCATAATTCGATGACTTCATTAACAAGCTAAAAAAATTATAAATTTATTAAAAATCAGAAATAGCAAATACAAGACGGTGATTAGAGAATTAATCTTCATAAGTATACATGCAAGTTGGACAGCTCGCACGACTGAAAGACTTAAAACTATTGATACTCGACGTGATTGAGTAATTCTTGATAACACTATGACGTATTACATAGTCTCAAGTCAGATAAAATCACGTGGCTTCTTACGACAAATGACAAATACTTTTGACCATGATGAAATACTTAACAAGATAAGAATACTCGTTTAAAACTATAGACAACATCTACTTGTATATCCTCCATCTTAGTCAGAAGAGTCATTTTGTCTTACATTTATTCGCTTCAGAACGATCTTATGTTCACATTAATTGCTTTCTCTTGCTCTTTTATGCCATGTTTGCATTACAGGTAACGTTGCTCGACTTCAAACTTTCCATACGTCCATGGCCGATAGCCACAATACATGCTTATCATTATATTTTTATTGATTAGCTTTTATTTAACATTACTTAACAATTAAATCGGAGCGTGCTTGAATTTGTTTTTGAAATTTGTTATTCATTTCAGCGGTGTAGTCAGAAATTTGTAAGTAGTTAGCAGTTTTCCAGCCAAACTTTTTTGAGTAGTAGGCAGCAATGGGTAATTGTAAAGTCTAGCACAGAGATGAACAAGTCAGGTTTTCTTGTACCCAGATCAAGTCAAGTTAAGTCATTCGTAAAAATTGAACCTATGAAGTCAGGTCGAGTCAAGTCATGATTTGGAAGCAGACATTTTAAAGTTAAACTAAGTTAAGTCTCAGGTGAAGACTTCTCTCGACTCAAGTCTCAAGTTTTTGACTTAAATTGTTTTAAAATTTCGTCATTTTATCCTTTATCTATTTATTACAAAGCATATCGTATTAGTGCTTCATTATATTACAATATGGCTAAGACTTTTAATGTCTTTCTAGACTTTTTTAGATCCATGATACAGAAATGTGAGGCTCCTCTGAAAGGAGTCCTCTCAGAGAAAATTTTTTCTAGATGTGACGATACTGCGGAATCTACCAGTAACTTCTTTGACAATGAATTTAATGTTTTATACTTAATCTACTGATTCATTCGAATCAATCGATCTGAATCGTTATCACTATCTCAAACTTTTATTGGTAGTTATTCAACGGCTAATAACGTTGCTACACAGTTTATTTATTATTTGATAAGGACTATTTACATGTACCATGAAGAAAAAAATGGAAATTTTCTGTTGTACCAATGGCAAAAGATGCTAAATTTCATGGTACAAAGACAAAATTACTTCACATTTTGTGAAGTTGATATCCAGTGGAGCTACAGAAATTCGCCTGACTAGATTTGAGTTTTTTGCTAAGGCAGAAGTCAAGTCAGTGAAAACAAGTCAAAAATGACTTGACTTGACTTGTCCATCTCTGTCGCTCTGATTGTTGTTTCCATAGAAACGATTGCAGATTGATTTTTGTGAATCTCTTAATTACATCTCAAGAAGAGGCAATTCATTGAAATTGCACCACTTGAATCTTTGAGTTTGCACAGGTGTTAAGGTTTTTTGACATTGTGCAATTGCTTTCGTTTTAAAAAAAATTGGATGGCAATAAGTTTTTGATTAGGGAGCAATCGCCCAATTGCCACCCTGCTGGCTACATCACTGGGCTGAATCAATAAAACGAACTAATCTGATGTATTTAAACTTTCAGTTTAATTCTCATCCTAATGCATTATAAACATACAAAGTACACTTCTTTGATTTGGTGACTAAATATGAAATGTTGTAGTTTCATCTTCCAAGTGAAATCATATACATTTAGATGTACAAGTATGGGTCTTGTGCTGAGCCTCACCCACACTCTATTGGTCTCAAAAGCCTAATTATGACAGTTTTATTGAAGTTCCACGTAAAATTCAGCTCATATATAGGTTTACTGACCGTAACGATAGTGTGAAAATTTCAGCTGACCAAAACTTGAGTTCACTTGCAAAGTTCATATCTCGATCATAGAATATTCTTTTCGCTTGAAGTTTTTACAGTATTCTAAGAATCAGTAGACCTATCGATGAGTTGAATTTCATAACACAACTCGATTATTTCATTTTTCACTAAGTTTTTAAGAATAGGTCGAATATTGAGTAAGACGGTTATTATTCATTTCGAGAAATCTATACAGATGAACGTGATTTCTATTTCAATATGACTTGCAAAGATTTTTCGATGGAAAGTTTTAAACTCATTTTAAGTCTATAAAATCTCCTGATGTTTCGCCAATGCGCTACGCATCAAAATTACTTATGATGATTTATTCGAGTATTGAAGATATTCATATGATTATTTTCTTATATTTAATCAACAGAAAACACTTCATATACAAAAAATAAACTTAATATATTCTGTTCTTTTTCTTCATGTTTTTTTTTGCTATGTAGATTGCTCTATTCCATTGTCGGACTACCTATGATATAACGTGAAGTGAACGACGAGAAAATGAGACAATTTTATTCACCTTTATTCATATACACATTAACATGAAATGAGAAAAAACACAACTACTATTCTCTGTTCTTCTTTTTTTTTTACTAAATCCTCTCTGCAATAAAAGGTACCCATTTGTTACTTTAACTAGCATAAACGCATTAAAATATATCCAGTTTTCAGAATTTTCAGCTGATAATCTTAACCTAGAGCGAGAGAGAGTTCAACATTCTACATAGTTTTTAAAATTCTAGAAACTACCTTTTAAATCCTCAGAATCACTATAGTTTTTTTGTAAAGCCTTTTTAATTCAAAATTATGAAATTCAATAAAACAGAATAGAAGATCCGAAGTCTTCGATTGTGGGGCAGGATGGATTAGTATTATCGAACCAATAACGAACGAGTATCTACTCGCAGAGAAAAGACTGATGAAATAGTAATTTCACCATTCACAAATAAATACTAAAATCGACGACGATCAAAACAGTATTTGAAAGTAGGCGTAGAATACTTTCTTTTTTGGTCATGATTCGTTTAGACCAAATCGGTATATTTTAATATTCAATCTCAAACAATCGCCACCTAATTGGTTTTTTTTTGCTTTTCTCTCTCTTAAGTATTTTATCGGGCAATGCAATATGCTTCTCTTTCATATTCACATAGACGATCATTTAGCAGCAGAACTTATTTGATTACATTGAATCAAAATTGAATCTCTAATCAGTCTTAAAGCATTGATAATTTGTTTAGTTATAGAATACACATTAAAAAAATCTATGGCGAAATCTTCGTCAGCTGATTATGTATTTAAAATTGTTTTAACAGGTGATTCCGGTGTTGGAAAATCAAATTTAATATCACGTTTTACTCGCAATGAATTTTCACTTGAAAGTCTTTCAACAATTGGTGTCGAATTTTCAACAAAAGAAGTTCAAGTCGATGGTAAAACAGTAAAATTACAAATATGGGATACTGGTAAAAATGACTTGTTTTTTCTTTTTAATAAAAAAAAAATGACGGAAAGTTTTACATTTTACATAGCGGGTCAAGAACGTTTTATGGCCATTACAAAACCTTATTATCGTAATTCCTTAGGTGCTCTATTAATTTTTGATATTCTTAAAGCATCAACATTTCAAAATCTTGATAAATGGTAAAGAAATCAAAAATAAATTATATTGAAAATTCTTATTTGTTTTTTTTTAAATAGGTATAGCGAAGTACGAACAAATGTTGGTGTCGAATGTTCTATTATTTTAGTTGGTAATAAAGTCGATCAACAATATATGCGTGCAGTTTCTCATGAAGATGCTAAACGTTATGCTGAGGAAAGAAATATTCCGTGAGATATATTCTTTAGTATAAAATACATCAAAGAAAACAAAATTTTGTAAAGGTATATTGAAACATCGGCATTAGATGCAACAAATGTCGAACAAGCTTTCCTTAGTCTTATTACGGAAATTTATCGTAACTGGACAACTCGGACTAAACCAATCAAAGATCAGCCACAATCTGACAGTCAAACAATAAAGCCATTTGAAAAACCATCATCTGAATTGCGAAATGATACAAATAGTAAATTCTGTTGTAGTCGTTCTTCATGTCGTTCATGTTATCGTATTTGTTAGCTCGTTTCGACGAGCTTTAACTTAATTTGTTTCAAATTTAATTATTTCTACTCATATAAATGTTCTTAATATCTTGTACATGTATATATCTCTCATACCACAATAGAGAGAAGAATCACATATTTGTATAATTCTATGTTTCTGGATGCCACAAATATAACAATCAATCGAGGAGGGGAAAACTGTTTGCCACTGATTACCCATAATTATCTATGATTGATAATTTTTATATTGATCGCTAAGCTAGAATGAGACATATTCTAGCTCGAGAGGAGAACAAATTAGAATTTTCAACTGACTAAGATTTAATTCATCGATATCTCAAACCTTCGTTTTCCCCGTAAATATGACAGATGCTATAAATGTTTCTCAAATATCAACTACTCATAGCTGTAATCTCGAAACGCGTACTATCTAATTTAGTTGAATGCGACGGCGAACGAGTGATCTACCGAGAACATCACTATCAAACGACAGTTTTGGACAATCATCAATCATATTGAACTATTCAGCACTGCAAACGAGTGCCGAAAATACATATAAAGTGTATCGAGTGATGATCGCATCGAGTTATGTGCATGGTAAACACGATAATGGCTCAACAGTATTCAGTTCAAGTAAAAAAGGTACTATGATTTGTGTCAAACTCAATGAAATATCGAAAATTCATATAACTGGACGACGTCAACGAGAAACTGATAACTTTCTTTCTAACAGTACTTTCAGCACGAGTATTACTAAATAGCAATCATCGACAGGACTCAATAGTTAATTCATATTGTCACAATTACTTGTTGATACTCTTCTTCGAATGGCATCCAACGAAACCGATAAAAATGAACTTATTGGTATCCGTGAAAAAGAATATGACGGAAACTGTGCTAATCTTATTATTCTCGAAGAATTTAAACAAACATTTTTTCTCTTTCTTTTCTTTATACGTGATATTTATGAATATTTCATAAAACATCGACGTATAGCTCCGATTACCGTATACCGTGGTCGAGTTAACTCATCGTGATTTAGCTCTCTTCTACTTGGGCGAGTCGATATCGTTGGATAGGTTGACAATAGTTTTGTTTTAAATCGATACAGATCCTTCGACAGAGGATGTAAAACCATTTGTTAATATTCGTTCTCTAAGTCATTTTCCCGAAGAGGAAGAAATTCTCGTAATGCTCGGTAGCATATTTCAGCTTTAGTTAATTATGCAAATGAGAGAAAAAAGGAAGTTGAATAATTTACACAGTTCGAATGATATTGAATAATAATGCTAGTCATGATTTCGAATCTATCTACGAATCAATTAAAGGTGAAATCAGCACCGGTAGTGCGGGAAAAACAAGTCTTTTTAATTTAGGTAACTTATCCAGATCATAGTTTTCAAAAGTCTCGTTCGAGTCACCATTCTCACATTGCATATACGTTAAGGAGCATCGGTTTAGTTCACAAAAGTCTTCATAACCTTAATCAGTCATTTTCCTATTTACAAAAAATAGTTCCAGCGACACATCTTAATCGAATTCATAGTGAGAGAGGTGTACTTCGAGTAACGGTAGTCACAGGCTTATTTGCGATCATACATCGATATGGATCATTATTGCCTTTACAATATGCAAATTCACATGCACTTTTATTCTTGCACATCTGACAATTCCTTTGCATTCTTCTGGTGCAGTGAATCAGGCTGGAACAAAAGATATTTGATTATAAAGGATTTGGGTATGGATGTGTGGGTGTGGGTGTGATTTGCTCATCATACACCCACATGCACAGCCTCATCCTCATCCACACCTACACTCACACCCTACCCGACACCGTATACGAAATATGCGAGGGTGTGGGTGGGTGTGGGTGTGGGTGTGGTTGTATGGTGGTAATGAAGAAGAAAGAAAGGAGTTACATCCACACCTACACCCCACACCCACACGCACACCTACACCCACACTCACACTCACACCCATACCTAACACCAACACCCGCCTACACTCACATCTACACCCCATACTCACACCCACACCCTCAGTGGGTGTCAATTTCATCAATATGCAAGCATTTGAGTTATTGTGACGACGACGAAAACAGTATCAGAGCAAAGGTTAACATAAAGATAGGTGAATCATTGTTCTCAAACTGTTGTCATCATCACCCCTTTTCATCTGATCCAGCTGCTCTCTTTTCAACATCCTTGATGATGCCAATGGCCATTATTTTATTCTTGGCATACACGATGAAATAGCCCAATGATGGATAATCGTGAAACTTTTCAACGCAGATAGGCTCTAATGGAACCATTTTCACTGTAGCAAGATCGCCTGATTTGACTGATTGTGGATACACTTGAATTGTTTCACTTATTTGATGATTGATTTTATCGACTAATTCAACAAGTAGACAAGAAAAACGCGCCGTGTGACAATGAACTATAAGACGATCACCTTGTCCGATTTGACCCGAATGATTGAGCATGAAAATCTGAGGAAAAAAAATACGATATTCGGTGAAAGTAAATCAAAGAAAATTACTTTGAAAAAAAAGCCCTACATGCTTTTGTTACAGCTCAAATAAATTTTCAATTCACACAATAGAAACAACATCCTATCTGCATTCGAACCAGTATATTTTTGTTCAAATTTAGGCTTATTCTCAATATAAATCAGATGAGGAAAACGTCATAACAAAGCATCTATAGTAGAACGATGACTTTCTGGTTTATCATTGGTACTATTGATCACTGATATTTGTCTAAATGTACCTGAGCAATGAAGCTTGTCGTCTCTCGAGCTGGATCATTCTGTATGTCTGAACAGATGTGACCATGTCGTAATTTTTTTGCATTAATATTATTGATATTGAAGGCAATAATAGTATCTGGAAAAGCCTCTGAAAATAATCATGTTATTGGTTGATCGAATGAACATTTAGTTACCTTCTAGAGTTTCGTAGCACATTTCGATCGATCGAACAGTAGCTGTCAGATTCAATGGAGAAAAGCTAACAGTCATATTCCTTTTCAGTACACCGGTCTCGACTCGACCCATAGCTACTGTTCCGATGCCACGTACTTTATAGACATCCTGTAGTGGCAGACGGAGTGGTTTGTCCATAAACTGTTGACGCTGAGCAATGGTATCAAGAGCTTCCAGGAAAGTTTTGCAGATAACATTACCTTCTTGACGTTCTACGATCCAACCAGTAAACCAGACCATTTTGTTCGATATTGTGACCAAATTATCTCCATTCCAAGCAGAGATAGGAACAAATGCGACATTTTCCAATGGATAACCAATTTGTTTCAAATAAGTAGACAGTTCAATTTGGATTTGATTGAAACGATTCTCGGAGTAGGACACAGTGTTAGCGTCCATCTTATTCACAGCAATAATCATTTGCTTGGCACCCAACATATAGGCAAACAAAATTTGTTGACGTGTTTGACCGTTCTCGGAGATGGAATTCTCAAACTCACCAATACATGCAGACACCATTAACACCACGCAATCGGCCTAACAAACAGACAAAAGATATGGTCAATATTCCCTTTCAACAATCAATGGTAGAAATCTGCAAACGTATCATTTCATACGAAAATCTTTGTTCAAGCCTACTATCAGTTTAAAAACAAGCAAGAAACCAGGAAAGGCTCCGACATACTCGAACTATATTTTTGACCATGTTGAAAACATCGCGATAATCTGGAGTGTCCATGGCAGTGATGTTGTACTTTGCACTCGCGAACCTATTCAACACCATATCGCTGGTGATAATATTTGATTGTGAGACATATTGTTTTAATAATTCTGAAGCATGCTTGAATGGAGGTCGATCTCTCTATCAGACAACAAAAAGTTGCATGAAATTAGATAGATATAGAACGACTAACCGTGGTGGCGGATAATTTTTCGCATTTCTCTATGGTTCGTTTGTCAACACCACCACATTTGTAAATCAATTGTTCAATCAAGGTTGACTTACCAGAGTAAACATCACCAATAATAACAATCTCAATACCAGTTTTCTCTTTATCCATTGATGAAAATCACTTGATGTTATTCGAAATTCGATGAAAGAATTGTGATAAGAAATGTATATAAAAAGAAAGCGACTCAAATGCATCAGTCTTTCACAATAGCCATTTGGAATGATGAAATTACAACTACTATGTGTAGAAAAGAAAGACGCAAATATAAGATAAATATTGTCAATAGAACGCAAAAGAATGATGAAATTATAAGTGTTTCGCAATGATTGAACTTCATTTCCGAAGACTATGAAAACAATCGGGACGTTTTGAACACTATGACATTTGAATCATTTGAATTCGAGAATAATTTTATAAAATCCACCGTTTTAATCTTTTTCTTGCAGTGTACATACAACAAAGAGTGTGGGTCCCAAGCAGACAAAAATCGTTAGAAACCCATGAAAACATCGCAAATTTGATCTATGGTAACGTTTTGACGTATTTGCAAAAACACTGGAGATGTAAACGGAGATTTTCTAGGTATGTGTGAAATGCAAACGTACAGCTTCGCTGTATCCAATACTTTTAGCCGTTTAAATAAATTAAAGTGAAACTTTCTTAGAGTTTAAATAATAACTTAATGTTACACGCGTTAAATCAAGCAAAAGTCGAAGTTTTCTCAGTAATGGCAAAAATAAACTCTGTACATTTCTTATTTGATTAATATTCTACGTTAAAACGGAAAAGAGTCGCCATTTCTAGACTTTGATCTGAGTAAATTTGTGAACCTGTTTAATTTCTGGTATTATCACTGTTAAATCGTTCAATTGTTGTTATTTATGAATGCTTATACGGCAGGTTTTCATTGCGTTTATTTCGAAAAAACAACTCATCGTTTAAACAATTAGTTTTACTTATGAACAAACGTTTGCTAGGATACTATTTCATTGCGTTTTTTTTCAATGAACAATTTATTGTTTAAATGATTATTTGTAGTGACATGTTAGCGTTTGCTAGAATCATGTTTTATTATGTT